GAGAGAGAGAGAGAGAGAGAGAGAGAGAGAGAGAGAGAGAGAGAGAGAGAATTAGGAGAATAAGAAAGATTGGGAACGAGAGAAAAAGAGAATAAGCGGAAGAGATGTAGACATGGATAGAGAGAACAAGTGTTATAGAGATGGAAAGAAAGAGCTTTTTTCGTTTTCGATGCGAATATTCTTTCAAATATTTAATTTGATTTCACAAATTGTTAATATTATAAAATTTTGTGGGCTAGTGCTATCTCCATAGAGCGCCGTCACATGTCCCTAACACTCCCACACATCAGGTAAACTGCTCACGTTTTTCCTCTCTCGCTCTCGCCCCTCGCATCTTTCCCGTGAGCTTGTCCATTGCTCGTTGCGCTTTTCATATTTTCCATTTGCCAGACTGCATATCTTCTCTAATCCTTATTCATGTCTCTCCCTCTCTCTCTCTTTCTCTCTCTCTCTCTCACGCCTTCTCTGTCTCTGGGTGTATCTCCCCCTTCCCCCCTCCACCCTCTCAGTAATGTCATAATTGCATTTTAAGTAGCCTTCGCTATTTCAGATTTCATAGCTGCTCGCGAATGTTTGCGTAATCCCTAGGCTAGCCAACACGACAGCATCCCTGGAGCATTCGGTTAGACGCTTTGATGCCCTGATGCTGTGACGCTTTGATGCCTTAACCCGTTGCGCCAGCTCTCTGCTCTGCTCTGCATGCATATTAAACTTGAATGGAGAGCCACTGCCAGCAGCTGCATCTGCGGTCCAGTGCTGTGCATCGCTGCCATTTGCCAGTGTTGTGCAACGAGCGTAAGTGTTTATGTGTGTGCGTGTGTGCATGTGTGTGTGAATATGGGGTAATCGCAGTTGCGTGCCCTGTAGCGATAACCTACAGAGAGTATCAGCTCCGATTGCCTTCATTTGCCAGTGTTGCACAACGTACATAAAAAGTGTTTAAAATTGACATTTGAATAAATTGTAGCCTGTTAAGCGATGCTTCACATTTTGTGTGCTTGTTTTGAAGGCCCCCGTGAGACTTGATTCAACCCTTCACTAACCTATCGCTCTTTTGCAGGGTATCCGCGAACGTGCTGAACGAGCAACATCAGCGAGGCAAATTCAATTTTGGGCGCCACAAATCGATTTATTAAAGTTCTTAAAGAGCTGACAAACACCAGCGAGACGAACAATAAATGAAGTGCGAATGGCGTCGACTGTCGACGGCATGTCCTCTCATATCCTGCCGCACCTCCTCGCATCGCCGCCCACTGTTAATTTAAATGAGCTGACGAACGGCCCCGGCCGCAGGCCATAAACCGCCTCGAAATGACAATACCAAATGGGATAAGGAGATTTTCGGTCGCATGGATAAGTCCGTATCGCATAGACACAGACCTACATATATGTATATGCCATATATATGTATGTTAATGTGTGTGTGTATGTGTGTGTGTGTGCCTATATGCAAATGAGTCACGCACACGCTGGCCTCTTCATAAGTATTATGTGCTGCCTTCCATCCATTTTTTCGCTTTTCTCCTTCATTTTTTTTTTTTTGCCTGAATGTCGCGTTAATGTTATTTTTCACAGCTATTGGCAAGCAGCAGGACCCTGCGGGGTAAAGAAAGGGGCAAGTGCGAGGCCAGCGGCTGGGGCAGAGACAGCGGCAGAGACAGCGGCAGCGGCAGCGGCGCGGCATATGCGCACGTCGCATCTGGCAAGCAAATGAAATTACGGAGGACAACGACGAGAACGACAAATCCCTTTAAATAAATCCTGACCGCGCGCAACAGCAAAAATGAAAGCGACAAGAAATGAGTTAAAATAATCAGAAAAAAAAAAGAAAAAAAAAAAAGAGTGCTCGACTGGGCAATACCCTCACCCAGACGAAGTTGCCATGCTGAAGATTCCAGCTTTTATTTTTGTAAAAATTTGTATATTTTATTAACAAGCTTAACAAACTTCTAGTTTTACATTAAACATAATAACAAACAATCTAAGATCTAGACTTAGAACATATATATATGTGTGTTAATATTACTATATTATTACTATTATTATCATTATTATTACATTAATATATATTTTTGTTTATTGTAATATTTTATTTTTATATTTATTTAAATTATTATGCTTTTAATATTACTTTATTATTACTATTATCATTATTATTACATTAATATATATTTTTGTTTATTGTAATATTTTATTTTTATATTTATTTAAATTATTATGCTTTTAATATTACTTTATTATTACTATTATTATTATTATTATATTAATATATTTTTGTCTATTGTAATATTTTATTTTTATATTTATTTATATTATTATGCTTTTAATATTACTTTATTATTACTATTATTATTATTATTATTATTATTATTATATTAATATATATTTTTGTTTATTGTAATATTTTATTTTAATATTTACATTATTATGCTTTTGGCTAGGTCTGTTGGGTCTCTTTCTCGGCTTGGCAGTTAGCCGTCTGGCTAATACATTTCTGTGCCTGTCAAGACGCTTAAAGTATCTTGCCGTACGTAATTGTAGTACATCTCCCACCTTTGGGACCTCTAGATCCTCTTCAATGTCTCGAATATTCTAGCTTACATCATAGAAGAAGAATTTCTGACTACAAGCTCATTTTCCTTTTTAGCATGGAAACTCTCGAGTGCAACAGTTGACAACTGACAAAAGTCACACTAAAGTCCCCAAATCAAGCTGAATGGAATGGCATTTACGGTTTTACTTATATAGATCCACGAGCTTGAACAATTGTTAAAATATCAAAAATAAGAAACAGAATTTCTATAAAAATAAAACATGAATTATTGGTAATTGAAAACTTTTGCTCTATATGTATATGGATTCCTCCATTAAAGTCTATTTTTGCAGCGTGGAAATGCCTTCTCATTACACCTTGAAGCTCAAGTTGAAAATGGGAAATCAGTGTAAAATGTTTTTTTTATTTTTAATTATTTTTTTTTTTTTTTCATGGAAATACTCTTATAATAAACTTAAATATATATATTTATCTCCATCACAGCCCCCCCCAAAAAAAAAAAAAAATATATATATATATATATATATATATAAAAAAATCATGAAACGGCCAGCAAATACAGTTACATTTCAGTTAATTAACAGGATTTGTTACAGCACCTTGGGCGAATGTCAAGCGGGCCACACACACACGCACACACACGCACACACACACCCACACACACGCACACACACACCCACACACAAACACACACACACGCACATACCACTCGAGCATTCCAGTTGTCATCGATATATATATTCATCGATATTGCACAGCCTAGCTCAAATTTATCGATAGGCACAAAGTTATTTATGCGTTCAGTGAAAGCTGAGATGTAAAAGCCCGTTATTCTTTACCTTTTCACCCGTTCACCTCAAACTAGCTTTCTTCTCCACGATCTCTCTCTCTGCCTCTCTCCCCTGAATGAACTTGAGTAATGCCAATAAATATCGAAAGCCTATCGATATTGGAACTGAACGATTAACGATTAGTCGGGAAAAGCTCATTGAAGTAGGCCTTGGAAAGGCTGACAGACACAGAGTGAAAACGACAAACCGAGCAGGCGACACAGCTAGAGCGATTTTCGTCAGAAGCAAAGGGGATCCAAAACTCAGACTATTTCTTTGGATTTTTCTTGAAATTCACATTGATTTGAATTCTGTGTAAGTATTAAGTAAAAATTCCAATTTATTCATATTCTTAGAAGTCCCTACCTCTCTCTCTCTCGCTCTCTCTCTCTCTCCATCTCTCTCTGCTGGTCTCCGTGACTGTGCACTTTTCATTATCCGTTCGTCGGCCTCCGCGACTCTCGTTTCTGTTTCTGCAGTTCTGTTGAATTCGCAGAGATTGGACACGCCTGACGTGCAACAAAGGGAGTCAACTTCTAGTAATCGATCCATACCACAAATTCAAAGATGCCGCGCAACGTGCGCCAGAAGAAACGCGCCGAGCGACGCGTCCAGGCGGCTGCCGCAGCCGCCGTCGATGAGGTGGCCAACGACAACAAGAAGCTGATCAACGGCGAGCTGGACGAGCAGGCCATGGGCGATGGCCATGGCAACGAGGTGAGCACCAATGCCAGCTGCAATGCCAATGGCAATGGCGATGGCAATGCCAGCGGCAAGGATCAGAATGCCAATGGCAATGCCAATGGCAATGGCAGTGGCAGCAACAACAACAACAGCAACAACAACAACAACAACAGCCTGTGCCCAGCCAGCTCTAGCAACAACACCAATTTGATGCACACCAAGAAGCCAAAGACATCGCGCGCCGATCCCATCCTGGCATCGCTCAGCAAGAACGCCCTGCGCATGAGCGATGTGCAGCTGCTGCACGGTCCGCACTGGCTGAACGATGCCATATTGAATTTCTATTTCGCCTATTTGGAGGAGATCAAGTACAAGTCGAACAGCGACTTTCTGTTTGTCACACCGGAGATGTCGCAGTGCATGCTCTACATGGACGACAAGGAGCTGCACGGACTGCTCGTCTCGCAGCATCAGGTGCTGCGCAAGCCGTTCCTCTTCATGGCGGTCAACGATAGTGAGTCGCGCGACCGAGGCGGCGCCCATTGGTCGCTGGTGGTGGCCTCGCGTCCGGACAAGAGCTTCTTTCACTTCGATTCGTATGGCGGCGGCAATACGAGCAGCTCCATGGAGCTCGTTAACAACATCAAGGATGTGCTGGAGATGCAGCACGCTCGCTTCCGTGGCATGCGCTGCCTCCAGCAGAGCAACGACTACGACTGCGGCATCCATGTCATCTGCATGGCCGATCAGATCACCGACTATGTGAATCGCTTTGACAGTGTCGATGGGGTGCAGCCACTGCATCAGGATGTCATCAAGGCCAAGCGCAATCAGCTGATCAAGCTGGTCGCCAGCCTCGGGCAGCATATCTAAGCAGCGACGACGACAGCGTACGCATTCGATCCGAGGTGAAACCTAAACGCATTTTTCCAAAATTTTACATTTGACAACACTGAAACGGCACTTTACAGCACTGCGCTGCACCTAATTCACTCTAGCCTGGTCATACTCTCTCTCTTTTACACACACACACACACACACACACGCGCACCCATACACACCCATGCACACATGTACAATCTTTGGCTTTCCCACTATTCGAGTCCCTCTGAAAATTTTGGAAAATGCGTTTCGTTTTCATCTGTTTTTACTACTGATGTATAATTTTAGAAATATGTATATTAAATAATGTCAAGTGGATGTATTAAATATATGGATATCATCTTGAGGGATCAATTTAAAAATATCGTTATCAATACCTCAAAGGATTATACGCTCTAAGTTTTTCTCTATTAGTTTTTAAAGCACAAATCATTCGATTTAACGCTCGAGTCTGATTTAACCTCACATATCCCCAAATTTCTTGATTGATCTCTGGATATATATCAAAAACTTGCAAAGCTTATACCAGACTTGGTAAAGCTCATCTGCTTTTTAGATGTGTTTCAGTCTTAGCCACAATTTGTCGCCAGCTTCAACCCTCTAGTATGACCTAACCTCATTTTTTTTTGGCTCTTTTGATGATGATCTCTGGACATATGGCCGGCACGTTTTGCCGGTCAACAGCTGAACAGCTTAAGTGGAGAAATGGCCAAGACAATCCAACTTGTTGCCAAAGCTCAAGCAGCAATCATGACCTAGCCCCCTATATGATTTTCTCATTTTCCTCACTTTTACTGTTGGAGTAGTCGCTGTTTAAACAAATACCGCATGCACGGCAAATACGTTTGCCAGCGAGCTACGTGCTGCCGCAAATGTTTTTCTTTGCTTGCTTCAACAGCGACTCAAAGCGTAAACTCAATTTACGTGATCGAATTTCGCTCCTTTTCCCCCACTCAAGAATTTGGATTTTTTGGCCCCATACCCTCAGCTCACCGAATCAGCGAATTTTCGGGATAAACACCAATAGGTGTAAGCGTTTGCAACAGATGGAACAAAGCTGAGTTTATGGAGTATGTAGGATAGTTATAATTACCGGATAGTTTTAGTTACTATTTTAGATTTCTCATTCTATTAGTATATATCATTTTGTGATTATCAATAGGAATCGAAATGATGCCTTAGTAACTCTAATGGGCCTGTGGAGCACATGATATCCCATATACCATATTATTTGGATCTATATAGAAACTATATCACTCATGCATAGGGGTTTCCCAATATGGTATCTCCTAGTCGGTCACTCCAGACTAGAGCACTTTTAGCTGTTGTTTGTTTTTCTTGCCCTAGCACTTTAGGTGTAATCAGATTCACAGCTGCTTCACTTGGGCTAACCACACACACACACACACACTCACTCACATACACCCACGCACTCGTTCCACTCGGAGATGTTGCCAAGGGTTGAACAACACTTTGATTGTAATCAGTTTTTGTCATCTGTGGGCATTAAAGTTCGTTTGGCTTAGTGCTTCATGGCATAAACATAAACGGAAATCGAAATGGAAATTATTTGGAAAATTAAATTTGATTTTCTGTTGACGAATGCGGCGAAGTCTTTTACAGCCAGCACATATCTGAGCTGCGGCTGTGGCCAAGCTGAGGTTTAGATAAATTCCAATTGCAATGTTTATTCGATTTTGCTTCAACTTGCTTTCCATACCCTGTAAATGAAGGGGTATATGCGATGTGTGGGATTGTTTGTAACATGTTTAAATATCTTATTGTATATTGTTGTTGTCTTTGAAGCCAATCAGGAAGTGTGAAAACGGAAGGTCTAGAAATGATGAAGGTTAAGCAAACTTTTCGATTCGTTCATTTATCGATATGTATCGAATGTTATCGTTTTATGTATACATTATGTGTTAATTTATCTCATATGCAAATCACAAAAAAAATGAAACAAAATCTAGCGATCATCAGATTTTAGTCAATATATCGATATATATCGAACATGATCGATTTCTGAAAAGTCAAGTATAAGAAAGCAGAGCTACAGCTATATCTTAGCAATGTTTTCATCAAATATGCTCTCTGCTCAAGGCAATCCAGTTACCGGGTAACTGATAGTCGTGCTCCTCTACGTGTGCCCACTCGATCTGATTTCGAGGTGGTTTTCCTTTTGTGTTACATTTTGGGGCTTTCGTTTATTTACCTCATGCATCATTTGCCACACAATTGTGCGGGTGCTGCATGGACTCGGCAGCTATTGTTTTATTGTTTTGGCTTGTGTGGCAGTTGCCTTAACCCTAGCGCTTAACCCCAACAACCACTCACACCCTCGCCCCTCAGCCTCTTGGCATTCTCTCCTCTCGTCTTTTATTTTTTTGTTTTTTTTTTGTTGGTTGTTAACGATTTTTATTGTATTTATTTTGCACTTCATGGACGAGCTGACTGGAAAGCAAATGGCTACTCAAAGCGTGCCACAGATTAAACGTGTGTATGCATGTGTGTGTGTGTGTGTGTGTGTGTGTGCATTGGGCACTTCAGTGTAAACAAGCAGCAAAACAACCGCAAGTGCTCGCACGTTAACCGATAACTCGCTACTGAGAGCGAGTACTCACTCGTTACCTGCCGCCTCGAATCGGCTCAATTGAACGTGTCTTATTTAAATGAACTCGTGAACTGATTGAGCGATCAGTGGAACGCAAGTTCACGAACGAGTCGTGCTTTGCAGTCACGCGATTATCGAACCAGAGCTGCCAATTGGGCTGCGATACGATGTGTGGCAACAGGTTTGTAGCAATAAATTTAATCGGTTTCTCAACTTAAAGCAGGCAGACATATACATATACGTGTATGTGTGTGTGTGTGTGTGTGTGCCTCTCTGGCGGCTGTAGTCACAGCTGCTTGTCTCAGTTGGTCGGGGACATTTCCCAGTGGCCTGGCTTTCGGTCTAATGAGCCATGAGTCAACAAAAAGCCAACCAGCTGAGCAGCCAGGCTAAGTTCTCTCAATCCCTAACTTCTAACCCCTACGCCCTAGCCTCTCGTGCCCCCTTGCCTACTGTTAAATCACAATTTCATCCTCTGTGTGTGTGTGTGCTTAAATATTTATGGCATTTGCTTAAGTTAATCTAAAACCCAACGCAGTGCCGCAGACATTGAGCAAATCAATCAATTTGGTTAGGCAAACCACCTGACTTACACCTCTGTCTCCCTCTACCTCTCTCTCTCTATCTCTCTCTCTGTCTCTGTCTGTGTGCGTGTGTGCCAAGTGGTATCTCACTTGACTTTAAAATGACATCGAGGCTCTCTCTCACGCCCCTCTCTCCCTCTCTCTCTCTCTCTCTCTCTCTGTGCCTCTCCATGTGTGCACAGCTGGGAAAACTGATAGCAGACGGATGCGGGCTTCTGGCTTCTGTGCCCATGCTGCGCCAGGAGGGGCAGTAGCAGCGAGGTGGTAAGCATGTCTGCCAGCTAAAACACCACATTAAGTGCACTGCAAGAAATGCTCAAGTAAATGCAATTAAAGCGCATTTGGCGACTATCGGTAATTATCGATAAGTATCTGCTGCAGATGGTTCCGATTGCTAACGATCACTTATCAAGTCCTTGTGACTATCGATCACACAGTAAATAATCGATGTGCCTTTCATTCCTTTACAATCAGAGAATTGAATTATGAATTTTTACTTTTCGATAGGTAAACTATCGATATACGTATATATTCATTCTCTCAGTGCATTCAGGCACCCCTCTGCACAAGGCAATGACTCAAGCGCAGCGCAACAGATGTGCATAAATGAGAAATGAGTCGATGCGACGACACTGGAGCTACTCATATGAACAGATGCATTTCACTCATTTAGATAGATAATGGCTCTCCGTTTGTAGCAAATTAGTTAGTAGAATGCTATTGCCATATGCGCATTAAGTTCATTCGAATTTATTTCCAGATATTGTTGGAGCTGAGTGGCCTGAGGGCCCAGATTGAAGGGAAGTAAATAAGAAGTAAATAAAATATCTTTACAGATTGCTTACTATTAAGTTATATATCCGCTGTCCATATACATAGATCAGGCAACAAAGCTTGTATATGCAAATATAGTCATAGAAAAATCTCAGTTTCTATCTCTGACTTTCTCCCTCGCTGCCTCTCCCTCTCTCTCTCTCCCTCATTAAGCAGCCAGCGGGTAAAGCAAATGCAGAGCTGGCAAATTAAAAAACTCAATTAGTTCGCAATTAAGTGAAACTCGACTCAAGTAACTCGACTCACATCTAAAGCACTACAAATAGACCCATTAAAGTTATATTAAACTTTCAGCTTAAAGAATTCCGAATGAAAAAAACAAAGAAAATCTGAGCTCAGTCCGTGTCGAGCTGAGAAACGAGTTAACATTATATACATATATACAGAGATATGTTTAAATAACTAAATATATACCATATACATTGTATATATGTATATGTATATGTATGTATGTATATATATGTATTCCCAGTTGTTGTGCATAGCCATGGCGCGAAGGATATGCAGCCAATGTTCGTCCTGTTGACTTTAACAAAAATTTATGTTGTTTACTACGGCATAAGCATACAAGAGGCAGAACGAGTGATGGCCCGGACACTAAGCCAAATGGAGGCAAGCAGCTAGCAGCACAGCAGGCGACAACAACACTCACACACCAACACACTCACACACACACACACACTCACACAACTTACAGCTGAGACTAAAGCCAATGCAGTGCGAGTGCAAATCGAAAGATATATTGAGCATTATTCTCGCATTTCAGCAGTGGCCCAATCTCAATTCCAAATCAAATGGCTTGGGAATGGCGTCACTTGTCTTAAGTGGGCGTGCCACTGCCTTTTCATTGTGTAAGTGTGTGTGTGTGTATGTGTGTGTGTTGCATATTGAATGATTTTCGGACTTGCATTCTTAATTAGCTGGAGAATAGGTGAGATTGACGTGCGCTCGAAAGTAGGCAATGGTTTTTTCTCTTTGTTTGCATTCAGCATCTGTAGA